AATTTAGCTCAGTCAGGCAGAATGGAGACAGCTAATGTCTATGGAGACCTCACAAAGACAGGGCTAGGGTGGGGCTTTGTGGGTTTACGGGTGGAAGGGTTAGTGGGAGGCAAAAAAATGAAAACTGAAAACAGAGAAGAGATGGAGTAAGACAGAACAGCAGGGGTGGTTACTGTGTACACACACCCTACAAAAGACATGGACAGATGAAGAAAAGGAAAGCCCAAAGACAGTGAGGCATAAACCCAGAAGTATGAATAGATATTAGAGCAAGAGAGAAAGGAAGAGGAAAGTGATAAACACAGGGAGAGGAGAAATCAATAGATAGGAGGCATGGAGATGGTAATTGCCTGACAGACATGAATGGAAAGAAGAGCTGAAGATGGTGAGCATGCAGGTGCAGAACAGTAGCAGAAAAGAAAGAAAGAGAGGCTGTGAAGGCAGTTAGATGACAGAGAAAAAACTTTGGGTAAGGGGGATGAGGATATCTGCTATGAAATTTTGAGACAGTTAAATACTGAGAATCTGGTAAAAAGGGAGACAAGTGGGAGGAATAACATAGATGAATACTGTTTCTTCTATCACAACAGTTTTGTTGGGGTTTTTTTGCATCTTTTAAAAAATCTATTTTTTTGTAGATTTTTCTTATCTATCATCGTGTTATTTGCATTTCTGTTTTACTCATTTCCTCTTTTATTTCGCTCATCACTTTCTTGTGTATTTTAATTGGTTGTATATCCTGTCTTTGTTTCCGCTGATTTTGATTGTCTGCCTCATTTTCACTCCACCTGCATCTTAGTTCTATTGTATTTGTAAACCTGTTTTTCCCATTACGTTTTTCATTTTCTTGAATTTGTTTTGAACTTTTCCCGGTTGTGACTAATATCTTGTTTTCCTACTTATTTGTAAATTCATATAAAGTTGTTTTGCTTTACTTCACCTTCCAGCTTTAAAAGGTTTTAGATTAAACAACATAACATTAAAATTCAACAAAACAGATGTATTGTAAATTTTATGAGGATGAGCCCAGATTATGCATATCAATCCATATATGCATCTTCTTCAACTGGCCAGTGTGGTGATGCAATAGTTAATACTATCACCTTACAGCAACACAGTCTTTTCAATATACTGGCTGACTGAGGCCCTGGTCTGTGGAATTTGTATGTTCTTCCCATGTCTGTATGGCTTCCTCCCACAGTCGAAATACTTGAATGTAAGGTTACTTGGTGATTCTAAACTGATCATATGTGTGAATGTAAGACTGAGTGATTGTCAGTCTCTACAGCCCTTTTACCTACTCGGATCAACTTGATGCAACTAGAAGCGGTATGACTCAGCTCGACTCGTTTTCCATTACAATCAAGTACTGCCAATGCCCAACTAGGGTAGTTGCATATAATACTTATATTATTAATTAGTATCTATCAACTTGATTTTTATGTTTTTACATTTGCAGGCAGCTTCAACAGACACAAGGTAAGCCTAGAACAGTCCCAGAAAAAGTTTTCTTATGAGCATGGAAAGCTAATTATAGTACAATTCCATAAATATGGGCACTTCCTACAACTGGGGTTGTCAAGAAATTGATTTTCAGACGCTAATCAATACTAAAAATTGCTATCAGATTAGATACACAACTCATTTGTGACAGTATTGATATAAACAGTGCCATCTTTGAATCCTCCAGCTGGTACATAACTTCCTATAGCACCATTGTAGACACGCAGGGACACAGCCTTACTAGCAGCTGTGTACTTGAATATCATGTCTAAGTAATTGATGTCCACAACACTTAAGAGGAATTTCCAAAAGTATATAGAGGATAAATCATCATGCATATTAACTTGGCTGGTGCACATGTTAATGTTAGCCGCTAAATTATTAGCAATTACTCAGTAGCAGCAAACACAGCCTCAGAGACTCACAAGCTAGTGTACTCCTAATGCTGGTACTGGCTTGGGACCAACAACAGCATTAGTAATTGGTAGCACATAAAATCTTTGCGAAATCAAACATGCAGATCCATCCACTGTGTTAACACCTGTAGAAATAAAGGCACATCTGATGGCAATCTTATCCAATAGTTACATTAGGTGTCTAATATTGTAACGGCTATAATTAATAATAAAATGACAATGCTAATGTGGAATGTAGACATGTTATCAGTCCTGCAAGTCTGTGATGTTATAATGGATGGCCTAAATTTAAAAGGCTAAAACAATTATTTGTCTAAAATTTGTTATCTTCTTCTTCTCTCCATAACAAATCACACTGATAGTTGTGTTGACCCACTGCATCATGCCTGCAAACTCTTCTTCACCTCCTCTGTCCACTGTCCGTTGCTTTGGATGGTGACCCCAGGTATTAAAAAATCATCTAGCTTCACTATTTATTAGGGGTGGGGGAAAAAATCAATACTGTGTAGTATGGTGATATTTTGTTTGCTAATAATGTTTCAATACAGGGACAGCCGAAATCGATATTTTGTTACAAAAAAAGTTTTTGTGGAATGGAACATGCTCTGACTTCAGAGGATGTTGATCAGCACCTTTTTCTGAGCAAGAATCCTGACATTCCTTCACTGTCCAAATGTGTTTAACTTTTTTTTTGGCAGCAACATGACAGTTTACTTATTTTAATTTAAAACATGTTTTATTTTAATTAAGTTTAAAACTTGTTTATTTAATGTAAAATTATATTTTGTTTTAATTTACTTTCAAATTCTTCAGTTGCTGAA